GCTTTTAAAGGTAAGGTTAGGGAAGGTTCATATTATATTTCCTCTGTTTGTAACAGAAAACTATACAGAAAAACTGTTACATGAAAAACTGGTTTTTTTTCAATCTAATTACTTGTAAATACATCGAGAAGTTTTAGCTCTAGTCACGAGCTTGACATCACTATAATAAGTTAGGAGCATGGCGATTTCTCGGAAATTTTTCTCTTATCACTGAAAACTATTTAATGATATTTAGAAGTTTTTTGGGGGCTTTTTTTCAGCTTATCAGTATCGGCATGATCAAACATGACAAGGTAAATAACAGAACGATCTGAAATGTATTCTAGAACGATAAAACAATATGCTTTTGAAGCTTAAGTTGAATAAAAGAATTACCGTTCACATCAACCATGGAGAGCCAGTTAAACATGCATGCCCTTCCGGCATGAGTTTAAGCATTCCTTACACTACGCTTTTACGTTTACCACCATTGTTAAAAACCAAAATTGTTCTTCCAATAATGTTTAAATAGTCTACGGACAAGCAAAGTTAAACTTTAAGGAGAATTTTATCCTTGAAACATTTGAGCAACTAGCAAATGTAAATCAGTAAACTTGCCTGAGGGTCGCGAAATTCGTGTAAACTTAATCACGGGCGTGTGAGCACTGGAATGGTTTGAAAAGGATTACGTTCATTTAACTTCTTTAATAAGCACACCATAAGGACGAATTTCGCCTTTCTGTGTGAGCCAGTAATCGGCCCCAACGCCTGTTTTTTCAGCGGAAATGATTTTGATACGATCAGGATTGACACGATTCTGAAAAGCAATTAAGTAACGCTTACCCTTGTGATCAAATTGTTGTGCGTAATGGTTTTCAACCATTTCAATATTGGGGCTGCTGTAAATGCCTTTACCATACGCTGCTCTGGGACCAGGTTTGTAGCCTTCTTTGATGATCTTGTCAGCGTTCTCAATCGCTGTGCCGTGATAAGAAACCGCCCATTCGTTTGGAGCTCCTTCGGTGCGTATGCCATTTGGGCCGAGCCATTCGTTGTAACCGAACTTGCGAACAACTTTGAGCGCTATCCTGTTCCAACCGTAAGGTCGATGATATTGATGCCCTCCCTTCATGTATATCTCACCGTCATTTTTGACGTTACTAAAATCAAAATCGTACTAGGGATCAAGCCCGTCGGGATCGACACTATGATGCGGCAAGCCACCACCACGTAAACCCAGCACTAAGAAGACGCTACTGCCATGACAAATTCCAAGGCTGCTTAAAGGGGTTTCATCTCTATCATCGAGTCTCTTGCCACAGTAAATCAGACCCATCACGTTCGCGTATATTCCTGTCTCTTCTTCAATAGTAGCCTTTAACTCGCTGACTGTGTACGTCTCCAGCACTTTGACAGTGAATATTTCGCCTTGTAGACCGTATACAAACACATCTATCATGTGGCTTCTCAGACTAGACCAACCTCCACTTGCTCCTAGAGAAGGAAAAGGTTCCATGATGTAGGTTGCTTCGAACAGTTCGTGTATGTCACTCGAAGGGAGGCCATTTTCACCGAATATTGCTGCAAATCCAGCATTCAGCAATTCCAAATTTGACATTTTCTGAAGTCTCTCTCTAAGATGAACACAACCAATTCGTCTTCAGCGAACATAGATGAATAATTTCAGGCTTGTATACTCTTAACTCTTAGTTCCTGTTATTCCTGGAAACATTGGCTGTTTATCATCCTAGCGGGAAAATTGATTGGTCGGCTTTTTACGGAAATCGAAAGCAGAATTTGCACTTCCGTTCATTGACATTTTTTCTTGTAAGTTAATACAACCGTATTTTAACGAAACTTTTATCTGTGTGGAGGGGGGTGAGGGGCTTAGCCTGTAGCAAAGGGACATTCAGCCGTGTTGCACTAGAGAAACTAAAAACGTATAGTACAATAAAAAACCAATTGCGTTTTTTAATTGGCTATGTCTTTTTTGCTCCCTACTCAATCAACTTACGTTTCTAGGAACGTTCGTGTCTATTGATTAGCTTTCTCATTTTCAGTTCCTTACTCAATCAACACACGCTTCTAAGAACTAAATTAGGATAGATGGAGCAGGCTAATCGACAGGACAGCCTCCTCGCCGTTCGAAAGAGATTATTCCCAGAGCATTATTGTAGGTTTCTTATGGCAAATCCGTAGACGTGGGGGTGTGGAGAGAGTGCTAATAACCAGATAACTGATTTTCCGTATCCATTCTAGCAATAGCCGAATCAAAATTGAAGTGCGTTGACACTGGGTCATGAAAGATTTTTCCGGAAATTATACCTACCGGTTGTAGGTCAAATTAACATTAGTGCGAACAACGTTGAATTCTAAATTTTTTCTTCGTCGTAATTTGACGGAAAGGAGTTGATAGTAAGCTTTCTATGACTCGATAATTATTTCTTCCATCCAAAAGGCCACAAAAAAAGTTTAAATATGTATAGGGAAAGCTTGCTTATTTTAGGTGTTTATTTAGGTGTTTATTTAGAAGGCCTAACAGAATAGGGGAATAATTTCGAGCTTCTTATGCGAAACTTTTCACCTCCCATATCGCAATTGAACAGTGAAGCACGGTTACTGTTTTCCATAACACAGAGACCTCATAGCATAGCACTTGCACAGTGTCACTCATCTTGCAACTACATAGAATTCTCTTTCTATTGTGCTCTCTCACGGATTTCATTGTTGTCATCCATTTGTCCTCTCTAGCTCAATGGGAGGTCAGTATTAACCTTCGATCTTCTTCACTTCAGGATTGTCGCTGCTGGAGCGAGCCAGTCCGCTAGGATCGATACCAAGATGCAGCAAGCCAGTATTACGTAAACCCAGCATTAGGAAGATGCTACTGCTATGACAAATTCCAAGGCTGATTAAAGGGGTTTCATCGCTATCATCAAGTCTCTTGCCACCGTAAATCAGACCCATCACGCTCGTGTCTATTCCCGTCTTTTCTTCAATAATAGCTTTTAATTCGCTGACTGTGTACGTCTCCCGCACCCTTACAGCGAATATTTCGCCTTGTAACCCAAACACAAACACGTTTATTACGCGACTTCTCAAACTAGAACGACCTCCAGTTACTCCCAGAGAAGGAAAAGGTTCCATGATGTAGGTTGCTTCGAACAGTTCGTGTATGTTACTTGAAGGGAGTCCATCTTCACCGAATATTGCTGCAAATCCAGCATTCAGTAAATCCAAATTTGACATTATTGAAAGGTTCTCTCGACAACCAGCTCGTCTTCAGCGAATACAGGTGAATTATTTCATGCTAATATAGCGTGACACTTAACTCTTCTTCCTGTTATTCGTGGAAACATTAGTTGTTTACCATCTGCTCGTACAAATTGATT